CTGCTGACCTCAAACACTGAAATACCCTGAAACCAGAACGAGAAGCACAATGGTGCCTGCCCTGCTCCCTACAGCTAGTGCCACAGAAACCTTCCTAGCAATTTGTATTTTGTTTTCAGGCTCTATGTAAAAATATGACAGCAAATAACCACATTTGAATGCCTGAAATAGAAATGCTCTTAAACAGCATGTATCATAAGCTTTTGTTTCTCCTGGACTTTGAAAAGTACAAGAACTTAATGTTAAAGTCCATTCTGCAAACAATTTTTGTGCATGAAATAGTCCTCCCAAAGCCAAGACTACATTTTATGATCAGGCCCAGTTTATATTCTAGGCTGGGTCTGAGGTAGGTCTTCAACACTGGATCCATTTCTATAAAGCTCATAAAAAGTTAATGTTAAGCAAGAAAAACTAATCACCAAATGTTTGCACAAGAAACGTTGCAGAGTACTGCTGAGCTGAGTCTTTGGGACGTTAATGAACACAAACAGCACGCAGGCAAAAAATTCACCTAAACTGCACCATGTTCATCCCCAAACCTCGTAACGCTCAAGAGCAGACCACGGATGGTCTGGACACGCAAAGAGCTCACACTAACAGATGACAGGATCAAGTCCCAGATTTTCAAGAGAAATTCTTCCCAGTAACAACCACAGCATTTACGGGTGAGGAGTGGAAGCAGGGCTGCTGCACGGGCTCCCATGGCTACAGCTGTAGGAAGGCGCGCGTGGCCAAGGGATGCCTGAACTGCTCATCCCCAGGGATGCTGCTGCGTGCACCTTGCTGCTCGGAGCGGGGGTGTGGAGCGAGCCTTTCCATCGGGCACGAATCACAGCAGCGTTTTTAAACTCACAACTTCCAGCCTCAGCTGCACAGCAGATCAACAGGAACACCACGGCCATTTAAGAACTAGCTAACATTTGTATCCTTCCCACATAGAGGAGAGAGAGGGGCAGCAAACAGAGCAAATAATCTAAATAAACACTCAAAAATCTGAAGACAAAAGCTACCGATCTGTTCAAATCCTTGAAGAACACTTCTTTTCCTTGATCAAGTTATCCATTTGAAATTCGGCCACTTGCTTTCACTTAGTGAAATATTTGTTCTTGGAAAAATAACACTTCGTCTTGTTTTTCATCGGGGCAATTTCGCCACTCAGAATACAGTGGTGTTTCACATACGTCTTCCCACTAATTTAGATGTTAGAGATGTGTTTTTAAAATAATGTATTATAGAGGCTTTACTGTGACTTAATAGATTATAATTTTGGATGCAGTAAGGAACAGAAATTCTCAAGCGGCTTTACATGCCACACTGTATTAACACGTACTGCATACATAGAAAAGATTTGGATCATATTTCATTTTTAGCTACTACGACAGTGTTGTGCATCACAGAACGCGTTTTCTCCTCCCTCAGTTACACCGGACCACAGGCAATCCGCGTGCTGGTGGCTACACTGGCTTTTCCTGAAGCGGGGACAATACAAATGTAACTACACAGGTGCAAAGAAGCATTCACACTGAGTCGCTACCATAAATTTAGGTATGCCAGCAAATCTTAAAGTGAAAAAAAAACTGCAGAGAACAAAACCTGGCATTCCCT